TGTGCGCTCATCCAAGTGCTTTCCCTTCTTACACGTCCTTCCGCGTTCGCCCCCGCTGCGGAGTGTGCGCCGAGAGGGCAAACCCGAGGGAGTCCCTGGGAGCAGCGCTGTCCTCAGGGAGGGAGGGGGCAGGGGACAGCCTGCTCCCGTCGTGCCGCAGGTGACCCGTCGCACGGCCCGGATGGTGGCGGAGTGGCAGTGTGTGGGCTTCTGCCACGGCGTGCTCAACACAGACAACATGAGCATCGTGGGGCTCACCATCGACTACGGGCCCTTCGGCTTCCTGGACAGGTGAGCAGCCCGGGGCCAGCATGTGGGCGCCCACGGCGCACGGACCGCTGGGGAAGGACCTGCTGTCCTCGATGTTTGGTTGGAAATGCCTGGTCAGCCCTTCGCAGCAGCAGAAATCCCCGGGAAGGTTTGGAGCAGAGCGGCCTTTTCAGAGGGTCCCTCCACTCCCGGACGGGGAATGGACTCACGGGGCCAGGGCGGGAACAGGCGGCGAGCAGGAAGGAGGGACGCGGCCGGCCAGGGGCAGTGGGCTGAGGCGGCGCCGCCCCCCGGCCGACTGAGCGGGTGGGAGTCGGCGGCTGCGGCCTGGACCTGTGCCCGTCAGAGCGGGGCCCCTGCGAGGCAGGGCGGGAGGGCAGTGGCCACACGGACGCAGCCTCCGGGCACCCCGGGACCTGCCTCATCCCCTTGCTGGCTCCGCTTGCCCCGTGTGGCAGGTACGACCCTGACCACGTGTGCAATGCTTCCGACAACACTGGGCGCTACGCATACAGCAAGCAGCCCGACGTTTGCAAGTGGAACCTGCAGAAGCTGGCGGAGGCCCTGGAGCCCGAGCTGCCCCGCGAGCGGGGCGAGACCATCCTGGCCGAGGAGTTCGACCCGGAGTTCCGCCGGCACTACCTGCAGAAGATGCGCAGGAAGCTGGGCCTGGTGCGCGCCGAGCTGGACGAGGACGGGGCGCTGGTGGCCAAGCTCCTGGAGACCATGCACCTGACTGGTGAGTGAGACGGGGGTCTGCTGCAGTGGCGCCCGGCGTTCTCGTTCCGGTGAAATAGACACAGCGTAAGATGGACCATTTTACCACGGGGTGTGCGGTTTGGGGCACTAAGCACATTCACCCCGTCGGTCTCCCCACACGGACACCCTGTCACTTCCTCCTCCTCCCGCGCCCCTGGCACCCCCAGTCTGCCGTCTGTCTGGATCGGACTCCTGCAGGGACCTCCTGTGAAATGGGCCCGTGCGGGATTCATCCAGTGACGGCTGACAGCGCCGGGACAGTGTCCTCAGGGTCCACGATGGTGGCGCAGGTGTCCGCATTCTAGGCCCTTGTGTGGACGGACCGCACCTTGCTCTTCCGTCAACGATGGATGCACCCTGGTGGTTTTCCCCTTCGGGCTGTTGTGGACAACAGCGCCGAAGACAGATGTGCAGACATCTGTTGGAGCCCGTTTTCAGTTCTTTCGGGGCTGCGCGGCAGAGCGGACCTGCGGATCTGACGCGGAGCTGCCGACCGCTCTGGCGGGAGCTTCCAGTACCGTGGTGAACGAAGCGGCTACGTGCGTGGCCGTCTGTCGCTCCTGCTCTTAGGGGGCGCCACCTCTTTCACCAGGCTGTGGCTTTTCCAGATACGGCTTTCACGAAATCGAGGAAGTTTCCTTCTATTCCTAGCTTGAGCGTTTGGGCTGTTTTGCATCAGCTGAGATGAGCACATGGTCGTACTCCTCCTCCTCACTTCGTGTCCTTAGTCAAGCTAAACCGCCATAAAAATCCACAGAGCGGCAGCTTGCCCAGCAGACGCTGATTTCTCACAGTTCTGGAGGCTGGGGGTCGGAGGTCAGGGTGCAGTGTGGTCGGGTTGCTGGTGAGGGCCTCCGTCCCTGGCCGAGAGCCGAGAGGGACCCCACCGGAGGCCCCCACTGTCCTTACCGGGACGCTGGTCTGCGGGGTCTTTGGCTTGGATATATCCAGGCAACGCTGAGTTAGGAAATGTTCCCTCCTGTTTTTTGGAAGAGTTTGAGAAGGACTGGTGATGATTCTTTGAGATTTGGTAGAACTTACCAGTGAAGCTACCTGGTCCTACCGTTGTCTTTGTTGGGAGGGTTCTGATGGCCCATTCAGTCTCCTCACTTGTCACAAGGCTACTCAGATTTTCTATTTCTTCTGAGTCCACTGTGGCAGACGGTGTTTCTGAGAATTTGTCCATTTCATCTACGTATCTGACGTATCAGTGTGGAACTGTTCAGTCTTCTCTTACAGTCCTGTTTCTGTATGACCAGTAGTCACCGCCCCACTTTCATTTCTGATTTTAGTTACGGGGCAGTAGCTAAAGGTTTGTCAATCTTGTTGATCTTTTCAAAGAACCAGGTAACTCTTGGTTTCAGTGGTTTTCGCTTCTTTTTTGTTCTCTATTTCGTTTACCTCTGCTATACCCTCTATTTCCTGTCTTTCGGCTAGTCTTAGTCTTATTTTGTTTTCTTTCTAGTTCCTTAGGTATAAGATTAAGTTACTGGTTTGAGGCTTTTTTCCCTTTGAGATTTAACGGGTATGTAATGGTGTCAGGGGTACGTGATTCGCTATTTGTAGAGATCGCAAAACTGTCGACTTCCATCACCACACAGTTGCAAATTTCTTTTTTGGGGGGGATAAAAGAGGTCTGCTCTCCTAATGTAGGTAATTAGCACCATAAAATTCTCTGTGACCACTGCTTTTGGGCATCCTATAAATTTCAGTATTTGTGTTTCCACATTTTCCTGCCTCAGTATTTTCTGCTTTCCCTTGTGATTTCTTTTTGGGCCCACTGGTTAATTTTCACAGTATCTGGGGATTTCCCAGTTTTCCTTCTGTTTGTGATTGCGATCTTCATTCCATTGTGGTTGGAGAAGATACCAGTCTTTTTAAGCATATTGACTTGCTTTGTGGCTGAACAAGTGGTCTGTCCTGTGTGCACTTGAGGAGACAGCTGTCTGTCTGTCTGATGGAGCAGCCGGACGGCGTTCGAGTTCCCCGTGTCCTCACTGGTCTGTCGTGTGGACGTTCCGTCCATTATCCAAAAGTGGGGCGCTGAAGCCTCCGGCTCCTACGGGGAACTGTGCTGTTTCTCCTTCCATTTTACGAATGTTTGGTTTGTATGTTTATAACCATTACATCTTCTTGATGAACAGCCTGTTCGACACCTAAAGGCCTTGTCGTTTGCAGGTCTCTTGCTGACAGCGGGAGGGCTGGCCCCGCTCTGCAGGTTACCATCTGCTTGGGGTATTTTTTCTGTCCTCTCTCTTTAGGCTGGACAAGTTGAAAGTACTTTTTTTAGTTCAAGCTGCCAGTCTCATTTGGAGATGAATCCTTTTAAGTCATTACCGATGAGGACTTCTGTCATTTCACTGTTTGTGGTCTGTGTCCTCTGCCATTTTTCATCCCTCATCTCCTCCATTACTGCTTTTGTGTCTCTGTTCTGGCCCCTTCTCATTTCCCTTTTGTGTCTCTTCCTGGGATGTTCTCCCGGGGGTTACAGGGACTGTGTTTTAACAAGTCAGGCCAAGGACCTCCCCGCATCTGTTCTGTGTTGAGCCCTGTTTGTTTGGAAGTGTTTCAGGGGCTTGTCCTTGACGCCCTGCAGCTCAAGTAGGCAGTGAGGACTGTGCCCACAGTGGAGGTGGCCAGGGGCTGACCACGGTGGCTGTGCCGTACTTACCTGATTCACGGATGAAGGAGCGGGGGCTTAGAGTGGTGGCCAAGCTGGGTGGCAGGTGGGTGGGGGCTGTTGAGGTGGCTGGAGGGGAGGGGTCGTGAGGCATCTGCCCTCAGCGTGGATGGTGGTGCGGGAGGCAGGTGCAGGGCACTGCCTCTGCCTGCCGGCACCCTGAGCAGCGGCGTGTTCCAGGGGCCGACTTCACAAACACCTTCTACTTGCTGAGCTCCTTCCCAGTTGGGCCAGAGTCCCTGGGCCTGCCTGAGTTCCTGGCCGCGCTGACCGCACAGTGTGCCTCCCTGGAGGAGCTGAAGCTCGCCTTCCGACCCCAGATGGATCCCCGGTGGGTACCCAGGTCTCACTTCTTGGAATTTGCTTCCAGAAGGAGAGGACCATTGAGAACAGAGCACGCCAGGGAACAGAAGAGGCAGCTGGCTGAGGCTTCTGGGGAAGGGGGTGGTCGGGCCCCCGTGTCTGCAGCGCTAAGGCCCGCCGGTCAGAGGGAAGGACAGCATGTTGTCACCACTGGGGGAGGCCAGTGGCATGGCTGGGGAGCAGCTTCCCAGAATGGCTCTCTCATCTGCCCAGGAAGAGCCCTGGGGCCCTCAGGTCTCAGCCAGACCAGGCTTTCCTGCGCCGCCTCCCACTGGGAAGAGTACACAGTGTCAGAGCCCACACTCAGAGTAAGACACGGCAAGCGCTGGGGTTTGAGAGAATTTAGTGCCACAGGGTGGTGAGTGCTGACGGAGGACAGGCTAGTAGGACCGGGGAAGGGGGTGTCGGTGTTGTCCCTGCCCCACCCCCAGGCCGCTCTGCAAGTGGGGAAGGACCCGGCCTTGTGGCCACCGTGGAGAAGCGGCCAGCAGGGCCCTCCCTGGGGGGGAAGCAGGTGCCTCATGTGCCCCAGGCGCCCGCAGGGCACTGCCCTTCGGCTGTCCCGCGACCGGGAGGGGCTGCCGCGGAGTAGGGGTGAACGGCTGCCCCACTGGTCGGGCCGGGTCACCCCCTTGCAGGGCAGTCAGCACAGCAGAGCGGCTAAAGCCAGTACCACCTCCCCCGCGCCCGATGGCCGTCTTCCAGGGGCCTCAGGGCGCAGCCCATGGCTGGGGTGGGGACGCGCCTCACGCTGCCCCTCCGCACAGGCAGCTCTCGATGATGCTGATGCTGGCACAGTCCAACCCCCAGCTCTTCGCGCTCATCGGCACCCGGGCGAACGTGACGAAGGAGCTAGAACGAGTGGAGCAGCATTCGCGGCTGGAGCAGCTGAGCCCGGCTGAGCTGCTGAGCAAGAACAGGGGCCACTGGGCTGACTGGCTCCAGGAGTATGGGTGAGGCTCCAGGCGGCCGGGCGCGGACTGCTCGCGTTACCTCTCCCTGGGAGGTGGCTGCAGACGCCGCCCCCCAAGCAGGGAACCAAATGCAGGAGGGGTGGGGGGGTGGCACCTGCTGGAAAGATGAACTTGGATGATTCCAGAGCCCGGCTGGAGAAGGACAGGGAGGGCGTCAGCGACAAGGATGCCTGGCAGGCTGAGCGCACGCGCGTCATGCATGCCAACAACCCCAAGTACGTCCTGCGGAACTACATCGCCCAGAATGCCATCGAGGCCGCCGAGAACGGAGACTTCTCAGAGGCAAGCACACACCCGTCCCTCCTCCGTCCCTGGGTCCAACAGCAGGGGATGGCCCGGGGAGCAAGCGGCAGCCCCTAAAAGTCCTCTCCTGGCCCTTCTCCAGGTGCGGCGGGTGCTGAAGCTACTGGAAACCCCTTACCACAGGGACGGGGAGGCCACCGAGGACCTGGAGGCCACTGAGCCTGAGGGGGCTGGTGGGGCAGACAGTGGGGGGCACTCCTACAGCAGCAAGCCCCCACTGTGGGCGGCCGAACTGTGCGTGACGTGATCCTCGTAATGGCCTTGCAGGCCTCCACACGTGGAGCCCCCAAGGCCCCGAGTCCCACCGAGTCCTTGAGACGGTGCCACCCTGTGGACAAACCCACCCCCGTCTCTCCATGACGGCCGAGACGTCCAGTCAGGACCTGACCTGTCTCTGTCTGACGCAGACTCAGCAGCCCAGCCCCACGCTCAGAGACGCGGCCCCCCAAATAAACCAGCAGCTTCCCTGGCCGGTCTCCGTGTGGTGGCTCTGCCCCTGGCCCACCAGCCTGGGGACCTGGGGGGGGGGGGAGGGCGGGGGGGGCACCTGTGTCCCGTGGCCTCAGGCATCCTGATAGTAGTTGTTGAAGTTGATGCGCAGCAGGAAGTCCTCCAGGTGGGGCTGGTAGCCGCGGTTCACCAGCTTGGTCACCACTGGGGGGTGGGGGGGTGCAGCTCAGCCGGTGGCCTCTGCCCTGCTGTCCCCAAGCCCTCCCGGCCCTGGGGGACAGGCACCTTTAAACAGGAAGTGGGAGTAGTACTTGAAGGTGCTGTAGGACTGCTGCATGAGAGCGAAGTTAGGGTGCTCTGCACCCCGGGGGCCACTGGCCGGGACCCAGGGCTGGGAGATAAGCTGGCTGCGGAACTTGAGGACGAGGCTGAAGATGCTGTGGATGACGTTCATGACGGGCGCAGCCTTCTCTGTCAGCAGGCCCCTGGGGGGGGCAGGCACCTGCCAGTGAGGGGTGCCCGCCCCCTCTGCACGTGCCCAAGGAGTAGCCCAGGCACAGCGGCTCACCTGAAGACAGCCTTGTGCAGGTACTCGGCGTGCGCACGCTGGATCTCCTCAAGGTCACCCACCTGCGCCAGCCGGGCTCGGAACTCACACCAGGTGACGTGCAGGATCTGGTTGGCGATGTAGCCCTGGGTGACCTTGACGAAGTGCTGCATCTCGTGCTTGAACAGCTGCAGCTGGCGGAACTGCACCGAGCCGGCCGCCTGGCTCACCAGAGCTGGGGGGGCGCAGAGGCGTCAGCTGGGCCCGGCGAGGGCAAGCCTGGGCTCTGGGCCGAGCCTCACCTGTGCGCTTGAGGTGGAAGCAAACGTCCTTGAGCGTCCACATCATCAGCTTCAGCTGCAGCAGGAAGGAGAAGATGCCGCTGTAGCGGCTCAGGCAGCCCTCGGTGACCACGACGTTGAGGGGCCAGTCGACCTGCGGGGAAGCCGGCTCAGCACAGGGGCGCGGGGGAGCGCCCGGCCCGCCCGCCCACTCGGCGAGGCCCTGCTGACCTTGTACCTGAGCTCCAGGCAGCTCAGCACGTCCGGGGCGTTGGGGGCAAAGGCCTCGGGCAGGAACTTGAGGGCGAAGGAGAGGTTGTCCGCGAACGGGGTGTCCCCGTGCAGGCTGTACTGTAGGGCCTTGCTCAGCACGGAGTTGAGCACCAGCGGGTTGAGCAGCTCCCCGGGCGTCTGCCCCGCCCCCAGCTGCCAGGAGAGGGCACGGCTGTCGCGAGGGAGTCCCGGCTGTCCGAGGGAGTCCCGGCACCTGCCCCCGCCCCGCGCCCAGGGGTCACCTTCTCAAACAGCAGATCGCTGAGCGACTGTGCGAACTCCCCGTCCTCCATGAGCAGGAAGTGCCGCAGCGCCTCGAAGTGCGCCTCCAGGCCGAGCTCCACGAAGAAGTAGTCCACGGCGGCCTTGTTCACCAACGAGACGCTGGCAGGAGGGGCGGGGGTCAGGGGCGGGGCCTGGCCTCCCGGGGGGCGGGGCATCCCGGGGGCGGGCACTCACTGCGCGGCCAGCGGGGCAGTGATGGAGTGCTTCATGAGCACGGGCAGGGGCAGCAGCTCGCTCAGCTGCACCGCGGTCTCATCTGCATCTGACCGGGTCCGGGGGTCCTCCGGGAGGGCGAAGGCGCGGGGAAGCCCGTGGTGTAGCAGGTGGGCGGCGGGAGTTTCTGCTGTACGATGGCAGATGGCCGTTAAGAGGCGGGGACACACCGGCCGCGCTCCCGCCCGCCCGCCGCTGCGTCTGGCCACTCACACATGGCCTCGTAGCTGTCCGGGTACTGCTCCAGCCGGTACTGCTCTATCAGACCCGCCAGGTAGGCCTGCTCCTGGCCCCAGCGCTGGGCCGCAGCCGCCTCCTCACCGAGGCCGGGGCTGCTCTGGGCCGCCGCGCCTTCCTAGGAAGGACAGGGTGGGGTGGGATCCCCTCCGTGCTGCCCCATCCTGGAGGACCAAAGCCCTCACTGCCCATGCGAGGCCAGAGCCCTAGCCACATCCGCCCTCACCTGTGAGCTTGGAGGGTGACCTGGAGAGAGGTCCTCAGTGTCCCCACTCGTCCCTGGTCCTGAGCAACACAAGTGGGGCAGGAGGGGGTATCAGGGCCAAGTGCCTCCTACAGGGTGATACCTCCCAAGTCCCCGGGGCTGCAGCCTTCTTGCCCTTCCTCCTTGCCCACACCCCTCCCGGGCCCACAGGTGCCCCCAGTGACAGGAGAGCTGTAGGGACCCCACTGACCTGGCTCCTTGGGGATACCATCTCCCAGATCCCCGGATGCAGCCACTGCAGACAGCGAAGGCTGGAGGCCACTCGCCTGCCCACTACTGGAGCCAGCCTCCTGAGCACAGGAGCTGTCAGAGGCTGTCTCTGCAGGCAGCCGTGGCTCGTGCTCCCAGACAGGGCTCTGTGCTCCCAGGCTGAGGCCTGACTGGGACACATGGTCAGGGGGGCTCTGGCAGGGCCTGGGTGGATCAGGCTGGCCTTCCCCAGAGAGCGCACCCAGGACCACATGGGACTGAGACACGTGTCCGTGGACGTTCCACCGTGGCCGCGAGGGGGCCACGTCCCACACGTTCTCCCCCACCTTGATGCTGGCGTCAGACACGTGTCCGTGGACGTTCCACCGTGGCCGCGAGGGGGCCACGTCCCACACGTTCTCCCCCACCTTGATGCTGGCGTCAGACACGTGTCCGTGGACGTTCCACCGTGGCCGCGAGGGGGCCACGTCCCACACGTTCTCCCCCACCTTGATCCTGGCGTCAGACACATGTCCGTGGACGTTCCACCGTGGCCGCGAGGGGGCCGTCCCAGAAGCACAGCCCCCTGTGGGAACACTGCCCTCTGACGCACGCCCGAGGAGCTGCCCCATGGCCTGGCTACTCCCGTTCTGGGGGAGGGGGTACCCAGAGGGGTGGGGGGGAGGCAGAGCCACCTGCCTGTCTGAGACACTTGCACCCTGTGGCCGCCTGACACTGCCCCCCCACAGCTGCTGCCCCTCATCACTCGAGCCGCCTCCTGCAGTCTTCAGGGACCCTGGGGAAGCCCAGGGGGCTACAGCTGGCCTCAGGATGGTTCTGAAATCATACTCCTGTGGCCCCGAAGGCCCTGGGCCCACCACTTCGGATGGAGCCGAGGGAGGCAGGTCTGAGCCGATGGTGTGCAGCGCCTCCTCCAGGACAGGGGCCACGCCAGAGTGTGCAGGCGGCTCGGCCTCCAGAGCTGCGGGCAGGAAGTCTTGGATGCTGAGGCCCCCAGAGAACGGCCCCGGCCTGTCCACCGGCCCCGAGCCACAGGCCCCTGCTGCTGGAGGCGAGAGCCGCTGCGGCGTCCGTGCATTCGGGCAATCCCAGGCAACCACGCGCTGTTCTGCATGCCCAGAGTCAGAGCTGCTGCCTCCCGCCGAGTGCCCGGGGCCCGGAGACAAAGCCTGAGACACAAGTGGGTGTTGGTTCCCCAAGCTCAGTTCTGCAACCACCAAGTCAGGCTCAGCAGCCACTGCGCTCCCAGGGCACCGCAGACCTGGGGCATCCAGCTCACAGCCCCATGCTCTGCGCCCTGAATCCTGCACCCAGCCCCTCACCTGGGAGCCGGCAGCAGGGAGGACAGAGAGTGGCTCCAGGGCCTTCCCTTCGGACACGTCCCTCAGCATCCCCTGAAATTCAGGCAGCAGCAGTGGGCGCCTAACCCCACACACTCCAACCCAGAGCCTCCGCACCTCACCCAACACACACAAGCCACAGCTCCTGACTGCCCACACGGGCCATAGCACCGAGGCGAGAAGGGCCTGGGCCTAGAGCGAGCACTCAGCACTGCCCGCGTCATCCCAGGGCGGCACAGCCTCCTCCCAGTCCCGACGTCCCTGGGCACTGAGTTACCAACCCTCTCCCAGAACCCAGGTGTGCTTGTTCTCTCAGGGGCTCCGAGACCCCTGAAGCCCAGGGGAAGAGCTCCCATCAGAAACCATGATGATACCCGAATGAGCTTCTGATCTTCTACGAGGAAGCGAAGCCGTGCACTTGCCAATCGGTGCCTCTGGATTTTCCACAGTGCCTTCTGCTCTCGACGAGCTGCTTCCGCAGACAACTTGCTATAATGGTCAACCAGTGCCTGCCTGAAGACACAGCCGGAGAGACCCAGCTGCCACAGTCGCCCAACACTGTCCAGCTGGCGCCCCGTGGGCTGGGATGGCTCTCCACAGCAGAGGCCCTCGGCACCTTCCCAGGCTAGCAGCTGGTCCCGGTGAGGCCCCACAGCCCCTGCAGGGGCCTTGCCGGACAGGTCTTTCTGCCCACCAGACCGGGACCCCGGCGGGCAGGCACCTAGCTGGGGCTCAGCAGATGTCTGCTGAGCAAATACCAGAACGAGCCCCTACACGACCCGAAGCAAGAGGACAGGCAGGAGGCCCGGGGCTGCCAGGCCCCCTGCGCGAGAGGTGCCTTCCTGTTCGGCTGGGGCGAACTCCAGAGAAGGAAGGATAAATGCGAAAGGGGACACAGCACAATACAAACGCTGCATCTGCTTCCCTGGCAGCTGTCCCCGCACGTCACTCCCAGCGGTTTTGGTCCTCTCGCCAGCAGGGAACTGGGTCAGACCTGGACTGGCTAATTCCCAGTTGGCTGCCCCGGACCAGGGACACAGCCCTACAGCTCGCTGTCTCCTACACAGGACAGAAGAACATCTTCCCCCACGCGCGCACACACCCGCACACGAGACACACCCTCCGAGAACAGTATCTAAGGTCAGCACAACGGGGATCCTGAGAGACGACGGGCAGGAAGACACAGCCCCCCCAAGGTGCCCCCGGGAGACTCTGCTGCAGCTTACGGGAGACGCACAGGAGGGCAGACAAGCTAATGGCACCAGAACAAGATAGCCTCTCGGATGCTGGGCTGGACAAATGCCCTGTCTGTTCAGCGGTCGGGCTGATCACGGGTTTAAAAATTAGGGACAGGAGCTGCTGAACTTAGAAGAAACAGAGAGACGGAGAGGCAGGAGAGGCAAACCTAGTGTGCGCACCTTGTCTGGATTCTAGTCCACACTAACCAACCAGGAGAAGACGTTCTGAGGATGGGGAAGCACACCTGAGCGTGGGAAAATGGCCACACGCACTCCGCCCAGGTGCATGTTGGAGTTTGGACCCCTACTCTGCCTACCTTAACACACGCTTGAAGAATCTCCAAAAGAGAAAGACGACCATCACCAGACCCTGCCAGGAGGGTCGCCCGCGGCCGCCTACCTCGTCTTCCTCTCCAGCTGCTCCTCCAGGGCCCTCAGCCTCCTCTCCCTGTCGCGGAGCGCCCGCGCATGGCCCAAGTCGTCATCCAGAGCCTCCTGCCTGGCCGCCCAGCGCCGCTGCACAACGTACCACACATGGTCTTGCAGGTTAGAGCTGGACTCCCCGAGCCGGCCCCCCCGCCCCCCACGGCCGCACCGCCTACCTCCTGGTCCTTCACAAACTGCTCCTTCAGCCTCTGAAACTGCTCTCGCTTCCGGGCGTCCAAGGCCATGCGTTCCGACGTCTGCCGATCTATGTTGAGATGGGAGGGGGCAGCGTGCTGAGAAGCCCGCAGCAGGTGACCCCAGAGGAGCCCCAGAGGGCGACCTGAGCCACACGTACCACTGAGCGCTCGCAGGACCCTGGACGCTGCTTCCCGGGCCTGGACAATCAATTCTTGTTTTGCAATTTCCATTCGTAATTCCTGAAAAAGATCATCTGTAAACACATCCCAATTCTCTGTCCCCTCCTCTAGGGCGGCCTGAAAGCGGGGGCTGCTCGGACCCCTGAACCCTGGCTCAACAAGCCTAGGTAGTCAACACACTCTCCAAGCAATCGGGGGCTGAGACCCCAGGCCTGCGTGTACCCACCCTGGAGGGGACCGGGAGCTCGGGGCGGGCTTCCCCACAGGGATGGAGGGCCAGCCCCCTCCCCGCATCCACCCCTACGTGTTCTCTCAAGTCTCCCCCGGGAGGCCAGGCCAGAAATGGCTTTCCATCAAATGCCTCCCTGGGTACACAAAACACTCAAAGCTCAGGTCCTGGTACCCCAGCCCCTTCCGAGCAGGAGAGGAGCTCACAGGGGTCACCAAGTGCAGGAACCTACGGTCCTGCTGCCCAGGACTGGGCGTGTCTCCCGCCCAGCCAGCCCCTGAGAAGAGAGGACAGAGCCCTACCCAGGCGTCCCCCACCCAGATACCCTACCGGACAGAGAACATCAGGGCAGCCTCCCCACTGGCCCAAGACCCTTAGAAGGGAGGGAGGTGCACGGAAAGCCCCCAGGCCCACAGCGCCCAACACCTTCTCCTCCTTGCTGATGGAGCTGTGGTGCGCTACCCTCTCCATCCGCCCCACGTAGATGGCACAGTCCCTCTCGACCTCCTTCAACTCCTCGGGGGAGAAAATCACTGAGATCCGAGGGACGGGGACGTCAGACCAGTAGAGGTAATGCTACCAAGAAGGAAAAGCTGAAGTGAGCCAGGGACACGCAGACCCATGCCCAGCTCTGCCTCTGTTCCTGGGGACCCATGGGGACAGCTCCCTTTCTCAGAAACGCTCATTCACTGGAGGGGCCTGGCTCCAAGTACATCCCAGACGGGTTGTGCGGGGTCTCTGCCCAGGCCAAGGCTGCCTCCCACCAGCGACCCTCCAGAAGCTACGAAGACCTCTCCTCAGCCTCCCTCACTGGAGGCGCGCGGGCTACAGGCCCAGGGTCAGCCCACACAGAACAGACCCCACTGCTGGCCACCCCTTCCCCAGGGAGCCTCGGCCTTCGAGCGCCCCAGCATCCGGCCCCTCCCCATGTCCTGACAGCTCCAGTCTGTTCTCAGCCCAGCACAGGAGGGACCCCGTCAGGCACAGGCTGAGCCTCCTGGCCCCTCCCCAGCCCTGTCCTGGGCAGCCCACCTGCCTCCCTGCTCTACAGGGCTGCACACCATGGATGGTACATGGGCCGCTGCCAGGCCTCCCCCACAACCCTCCAAACCACGAGACACGACTCCCTAAACCAGCCTGGGTCCATCTTCCTGCGGATGTAGCCCACGGCTGTCCCACTGGGGCAGTTTCCCGCGTGGAGGGAGGGAAGGAGCCCACCGCCCCTTGGCCTTTGATATGCCTTTGCTTTCCGTCCTGCCTTTGGACAAGCTCCCAGAAACTCGATGGAGCTGCTTGTGACACTCAGGGGGATATGAGAGGTCAGCACACACTACAGACAGATGGCCAGGTCTCAGGGGACAGGGACGGCAGCAGGACAAGAAGGCACGGGAGGGCGGGCGCTCCTCACCTGGGGGCAGCAGAGTTTCAGCAGATTGATGGTCTTCCCGCAGACGTACACGTCGTGGGCGACGTGCTTCAGGAACACAGGGACGCAGTCCTCCACCTCTTTGGAAATGAGCACGTAGCCGTGGGTCCAGTAGAACTTATCTGAATGGGGGCGGGACACATGGCTGGCTGGGGTGCAGCCCTGGCCCCAACCATCCGATGGCAGAGGCCCGGCCTAGCAGCCAGCAGCCACCTACCTCTGCAGCCCAGGTACTCGCGGTTCACCTGGATCATGAATTCCCCGTAAACATCTCTGAAGACCCCACTGTACACCCAGTCGTGGATGAACCTGCCAGGGTGGACAGGCCAGCCATGAGGGGGCATGGCGGCCAAGGGGGTGGTCCACCAATGTGCCCACAGTCCAAGCCCAGCAGCGCTACTCCCCCCTCCTCCCACACAACCCCTGCCCTTAGGCGGTGTGTGACAAAAGGCTGCTGTCCTGTGTCAGCGCGGGGTGCGTGCTCTGCGCAAGGTGCGCCGGGGTACACGGAGTATGCGGGGTGAGCGGTCTGCGCGGGGTGCACGGTCTGCGCGGTGTGCGGTGTGCACAGGGTGCATGGGGTGTGTGGGGTGAGCGGTCTGCGCGGGGTGCACGGAAAATGTGCGGTGCGCGGTCTGCGCGGGGTGCGCGGTCTGTGCGGGGCGCACGGAGTATGCGGGGTGCGCGGTCTGCGCGGGGTGCGCGGTCTGCGTGGGGTGCACGGGGTGTGCGGGGCGCGCGGTCTGCGCGGTCTGCGTGGGGTGCATGGGGGTGCACGGAGTATGCGGGGTGCGCGGTCTGTGCAGGGTGCACGGTCTGCACGGTCTGAGCGGGGTGCGTGGGGTGCACGGAGTATGTGGGGTGCACGGAGTATGCAGGGTGCGTGGTCTGCGCGGGGTGCGCGGTCTGCGCGAGGTGCACGGGGTGTGCGGCATGCACGGAGTATGCGGGGTGCGCGGTCTGCGCGGTGTGCGGTCTGCACAGGGTGCATGGGGTGTGCGGGGTAAGCGGTCTGCGCGGAGTGCACGGAATATGTGCGGTGCGCGGTCTGCGCGGGGTGTGCGGTCTGTGCGGGGCGCACGGAGTATGCGGGGTGCGCGGTCTGCGCGGGGTGTGCGGTCTGCGCAGGGTAGGTGGGGTGCACGGGGTATGTGAGTGCATGGTCTGCGTGGGGTGCATGGGGTGCACGGAGTATGCGGGGTGCGCGGTCTGTGCGGGGTGCACAGTCTGCACGGTCTGCGCGGGGTGCGCGGTCTGTGCGGGGCAGGGGTCTGCGCGGGGTGCACGGTCTGCGCGGGGTACGCGGGCCCCACCTCGTGTAGGGCTCGCAGCTGGTCTTCAGCAGGGACAGCAGCACTGGGTAGTGCTCGTTGCTGCAATTATCGAGAGCCTCCTGGTACAGGTAGGAGAGCAGCTTCACCCCCTGGAGACAGCAAGGGGAGGGGCTTCAGCGCAGTACCACACGCGGCCGACGCCCAGCAGCAGCCCCACCAAGGGAGGACACTCGGGAAGAACCCAGAACTCACGGTGGGGAATGCAGGCTTGGGTTCTCCGGCCCCACTACCTGGGAGTGCAGTGCCAACACCGCAGAGCTCAGCCAAGTACCTAGACACAGAGGCTGCGTGAGACCAGGGAGCAGACACTCAGAGGCCCCAGGTCCAGGGATACCAAAGCAAAATGTCTCCCGGGCCCATCTCTGCCTGCCTTCACGCTCCAGGTTTAAAAGCACCCGGACTTCAAGGACTCCAGATTTGAGCTTCCTGCCTGGTCCCCCCTGCACACCCTGTGCATCTCCACCCCCTTCTCAGGCTCCGACAAGACTCAGAACCACCCTGGGTGCATGACCCTCCCCCCGCCCCCACAGCACCCCGCCACCTCACGCCGGGTAACACCTCCTCTGGCCTGGATGACTGCCCAGACCCCGCCCAGACCCCCGCCCTCTCTGCCCTGCTGCAGTCTACATCCACATGGCAGCACAGTGCCCCTGCCCCAGCACCCTCCAGGCGCCCCCAGACTCTCGCCACCCCCACTGCACCCCACCTCCAGCCTTTCTGCCCACAAGGCTTCCTCTCCCACTGAACCCTTCTCCCCAGCATCCCCAGGCCCTCATGCTCCCTTCTCCAGAGGGCACCTGCCACACCACTCCGCCTGGGGTTTACGAACTGACCAGGAGTGCCAGGAGCCAGGTCTGTGGGGACCCTGTGTGCCCTTCAGGCAGGTGCCCCCAGCCCTAGACGGGGCCTGCCACGGTAGGCCACCAACAGATACACAGCACGCAGCACCCGGGGAGCCCACTGGGGGCAAGGGACCCTGTTCTCACAAGCCCTTTGCAGCCCAGCTAGTCCCGCACCTGCCTCCACACGGCCCCCATACTCGGCCCCCACGCCAAGGCTCACCTGAGCTGCCGGCCCAGTTTCTTGAAAAGAAAGCCAATGGTGAGGAGGCTCAGGGTGGGCGGAGTGGAGAGGACGCAGGCACGGTAATACTGCAGGAACTTCCTCAGGCCGCTGGTGAAGGCCTATTGGGCAACGGGGCTGGGAGCGGGGCGGCCAGGCCCAGGGGCATGGCCGCTAAGCTCAGAACTTACAGGATGCACTGGAGCTGGGGGAAAAGGCTTGGCTCCCGTCCCCAACCCTGGGGCTCCATCTTCTAAGGAATGGGCATGGATGGGTCATGCCCAGGCACCCCAGCCCAGCTGCAAGGAAGGACCCTTCACGGAATCCCAGGGCCCAGACCAGCTACACCAGGACGCTGGGAACTGCGGGTCCCAGGGGGAGTTCTGGAAGGGGCAGCCAGGCTCTGCACGTGGGTGCCAACTCTGAGAGGGTCTCTGGCCGCTCAAACCACCGGGCTCTCGGCAACACACGCGTCCTGGGCTGCACTGCAGCAGCGGGTCTGCACGGAACGCTCCGGAACAAAAGTCAGTCTACCCACCAGCCACGTCCTCGACCCGCATGGCAGTCCCTCCCATCTTCGTCAGTTTCCTCCTTGCCTCCATGGGCCCGGCCTGCACCGTCTCAAACCCGAACCTCATCAGCCACCAGCACTGCCACTGGGCCACGAAGGGAAGGAGCCCGTGCCCCCCAGCTCCCCGTGGGCCCCAGCATCCTGCCTCCTGCCTCCTCTGCTCAGCCTCCCTGCTGCTCTTCGCTCAGCTCTCCCCAAACGCCCTGCTCCATCTGGACGCCTGCCCCTCCCAGCAGGCCGCACCTGCTGTCCCAGGGGGACTCTGCCCAGCATATGGGCCGACTGTGAGGTCCTCCAGAAGAGCTGGCCTAGCCCCAGGGCCTAGAACTTCAACACCCCAAAGCAGGGAGGATGCTGTGTCGGTCGCTATGCAACTCCCTGAGGACCCAGCAGGGAGCAGGCAGCATAAGCCTGCCCCATACCGCCCAGCTCCCCCCCCCCCCCCGGAATGCTGGCCACACCTCTACCCCATGGCCTAAACACGGCTGCCCAGGTCTGCAGGTAAGTGACAGTGGAGCTAAAACATCATCCCTGGGCACCCCGTTCCTGAAGAGGGACTGTCAGCTTTTAGACGTTGCTAAGGAAACAAAAGGCTTGCACTCAGTGGTCCTGGGGTAGAATCCTGAGGCTCCCAGGAAGGCCTGGGAGAGCGACGAGGCGGAGGGCCGTACCTGGAACACGAGGCCCTTGCTGCACGAGGAGTCCAGCACAGGCTGCAGAGAGAACTGGCTCAGGCGTGTGTAGTGTGTCCCCCACTCGCCCACCTCTGAGAGGAGACTGCTGACGCTCTCAGGGGAGGCTCCTGATACGTGGACACCCCGCTTCACCATGAAGGTCTGAGCTGGCTGGACAGGGCAGAGGAGAGGCTACTGAGTCAGGCACCCAGAGCCCAACACGGTACTGTCGCCCCTTCCACCCTCTCAGCACGGCGCAGAGTGTCCCAAGACTGGGTGCCCCCAAACCAAGACACACCCACAGGAAGCGCCAAGAGCAGAGAGCAGACGGCCCAAAGCATAGCCCGACCGCCCCACCCTCAGCAATGAAAACATGCACACGCAGAAACAACAAACAGGAGTTTTTATGGACCACACTGAAAAATAGTACGTATCTGAAACATCAAGCCAATTGTGGATGCGGGTGCAGGAAGACACGCGGCCTCCCACACTACCCGAGAAGTGCACACACAGCACCTAAAGTGCTGTCATTAGATCTGACTACTGGACTCGCAGGGACGCATCCCGAGGAGACAACACATGGCTGCTGCCGAGCTGTGTCCTGGAATCACAGGGAGAGCCGCAAAGGCCGGCCCACTGCAGCTCTGACACGGCGGGCAGGGAGGGCCAACAGACAAGCCCCAGGCGTCCCAGCCAACAGCCTCTCTATCAACAGGCTCCCACAGACACAGTACCTCCCAACAGATTAAGATGGTAAACGTTTTGTGTATTTTATTGCAATTTAAAGAAACCTTTAAAAAAACAAAAAACCCTCTCAACAAAGAAAAGCTCAGGACCAGATGGCATTACCAGTGAATTCTACCAAACAATTAAAGAACTAACACCAATTGTTCTCAAACTCTTCCAAAACCCGAAAAGGAGGGAATACTTCCTAATTTTAAGAGGCCAGTATTGCCCTGATTCCAAAGCAAGATAAAGACACTATAAGGAGGGAAAACTATAGGCCAACTTCCCTTATGAACGTAAATGTAAAAATCTCTGATAAAGTACTAACAAACTTTAGTAGCCTGGGTGGCTCAGTCGGTTAAGCATCCGACTCTTGGTTTCGGCTCAGGGGTCATGGGATGGAGCCCCCCATGGGGCTCCATACTGGGCGTGGAGTCTGCTTGAGGATTCTCTACCTCTCCACTGCCACCCCCCCCAAATAAATAAATAAATCTGAAAAAGAAAACACTAACAAATCAAATCCAGCAGCATGTTAAAAAGGGTGGCTCGGCATACAAAAATCAATCAATTCGGACTTTGCCGAGGGTCACACCGACCCACGAGCTGCTTCAGGGGCGTCTTTAGGAGTCAGTACCGTGGATCAAGACCGAAGTCCAGAACTATCAGACTGCCCGGCGGCCAGCCACTTCCCCAGCGAAAGGCAGAGCGGGAGCCGCTGGAAGAACTACACGGACTTCATGAGACCAGCACCTGTATGCGTCCCACAGCCCCATACCCTGGGTGTCAGCCCGGGACCACCGCCGGGCAGAAGGCACGTTTCCTGGGAAGATCTCAACTGGCTCCACCTGCCTCTCCTCTGCCCTCCATCCTTCTCCCACCTGTGTGCCGGCTGATCCCCACCCGGGGATCCTGAATCATGGCTTAGCTAATAATAAATACTCATTGGAGAAGTGAAAAAAAAAAAAAAATCAATCAATGCAATAGGCCACATTAATAGAACGAAGAAAAAATAGGGTTATCTTAATTAGTGCAAAGAAAGCATTTGACAAATTCCAACACACTTCCATGATAAAAACACTCAATAGGTTAAAGAATATAGGGAACCTCCTTAACATGATAAAACCCATGTATGACAAACCCACAGCTAACATCACACTCCACGGTAAAAGACTGAAAGATTTTCCCCTAAGACAAAGAAGGAGGCAGGAATGTCTGCTTTCACCATTTCTGTTTAAAATAGCACTGGAGGGGCACCTGGAGGTGGAGGGAGGATCAGTCGGTTAAGTGTCCAACTCTTGATTTCGGCTCAGCTCACGATCTCAGGGTCTTGGGATGGAGCCTGGTGGTCAGGCTCTGCGCTCAGCAGGGAGTCTGCCTGGGATTCTCTGCCTCTTCCTCTGCCCCTCCCCCTGCTCACCTGCTCTAAAATAAATAAATCTTAAAAAATAATAAATAATAATAATAATCTTGAAAAAGAAGAAAAATGTTGGAAGCCTCACACTTCCCAAGTTCAAAAATTTTTTTTAAGATTTTATTTATTTATTTGACAGAGAGAGACACAGTGAGAGAGGGAACACAAGCAGGGGAAGTGGGAGAGGGAGACGCAGGCTTCCCGCGGAGCAGGGAGCCCGATGCGGGGCTCGATCCCAGGACCCTGGGATCATGATCCGAGCCAAAGGCAGATGCTTAACGACTGAGCCCCCCAGTTGCCCCCCACGTTCAAAATTTATTACGAAGCTACAGTAATCAAGACAGTGTGCTCCTGGCATAAAGACAGATGCCGAGAGCAGATGAACGAAACAGGAAACCCAGAGGTAAACCCTCACATGTACGGCCAATTAATTTTCAGTAAGGACACCAAAACCACTCAGTGGGGAAAGGACAGTCTTTTCAACCAACAGTGCTGAGAAAACTGGACATTCACGTGCAAAAGATTTAAGTTGGGTCCTCCCCCAACACCACATATAAAAATACACTCAAAGTAGATCAAACACCTCAACTTAAGACCTAAGACCAAAAAACTCTGAGGGGAACGCAGAGGCAAATCTTCCTGACCCGGATTTGGCAGTTTTTCACATATGACACCAAAGGCACAAAATACAAATAAACTGGACTTCATGAAAATTAAAAACATGTATGCTTCGAAGAAAACTATAAGGAGAGTGAAAAGACAGCCTACAGAATAGAAGAAAATATTTGCAAATCATGAAACTGACAAGGGATTAATATCCAGAATATATAAAGAAATGCTACAACTCAACAATTCAATTCAAAAATGGGCAAAGAACTCAAATACACATTTCTGCAAAGAAGATATACAAATGGCCAATAAGCACATAAAAAAATGTTCAGTATGATTAATCACTAGGGAAATGCAAATCAAAACTATGAGACACCGCTTCACACCCATTAGGACAGTTATCTTTTTTTAAAGATTTTATTTGTGGGGGCACCTGGGTGGCTCGGTCATTAAGCGTCTGCCTTCGGCTCAGGTCATGATCCCAGGGTCCTGGGATCGAGCCCCACGTCGGGCTCCCTGCTCGGCAGGGAGCTGGCTTCTCCCTCTCCCTCTGCCGCTCCCCCTGCTTGTGTTCCCTCTCTCTGTCAAATAAGTAAGTAAAATCTTTTTTAAAAACATGATTTATTAAATAATATTAAATATTATTTATATATTAAATATATAAATATTTATTTTTTAAGATTTTATTTATTTATTTGACAGAGAGAGACACAGTGAGAGAGGGAACACAAGCAGGGCGAGTGGGAGAGGGAGAAGCAGGCTTCCCGCCAAGCAGGGAGCCCGATGAGGTGCTCGATCCCAGGACCCCGGGATCATGACCCGAGCCGAAGGCAGCTGCTTAACTGACCGAGCCACCCAGGTGCCCAGGACAGTTATCTTAAAGCAAATGAAACAAGTGTCCATGAGGACAAAGAGAAATTGGAACCCTCACAGGATGTGGGAAGGAAGGTAAAGTGGTGCAGCCACCATGAAAAATAGTTCGTTGGTTCCTCCAAAAGCTACACATAACGTAACACAGGGCCCAACACTCACACTCCCGGGTATATACCTGAAAGAACTGAAAGCAGGGACTCAAACTCTTGCACACACACGCTCACAGCAGCACATTCACAACGGCCAACCCATGTGCCCACACGCAGATGAATGCATAAATAAAACGTGGTACATACATAGAAAGAGTAGTACTCAGCCTTAAAAAGGAAGGAGCTGCTGACACCTGCCACGACCCGGGGGAGCCCTGAGGACACTGTGCTGAAACAAGCCAGACCCAGAAGGACAAATCCTGTCTGGTTCCACTTCTAGGAGGCACCTGCAGTGGTCAGACCCAGGGGGACAGAGAGCAGACGGCGGGGCCGGGGAGGGGGCTGTGGGGAGAGTGCGTGATGGGGACAGAGTCTGGGAAGTTCAGGTTGGGAAGATGAAAAATTTTGTAAACAGACAGTGATGATGATCACCCAACACTGGGAATGTAATTAATGCCCCCGAATAGTACACTTAAAAGTGGGTTAAAAAAAGAAGTGGAGGATGCCTGGGGGGCGCAGTTAGGCATCTGACTCTTGGTTTCAGCTCAGGTCCTGGTCTCAGGATCATGAGATCGAGCCCCGTGACGGCTTCCGTGCTTATTGAGGAGTCACTTCCTCTACCCTGCCCCCAACCCAGCTCGCACACACGCACGCACACTCTCTCGCTCAAAGTAAATAAATAAATAAATCTTAAAAAAGAAAAAAGTGGGGCGCCTGGGTGGCTCAGTTGGTTAAGCGACTGCCTTCGGCTCAGGTCATGATCCTGGAGTCCCGGGATCGAGTCCCGCATGGGGCTCCCTGCTCGGCGGGGAGTCTGCTTCTCCCTCTGACCCTCCCCCCGTCATGCTCTCTCTCTCTCATTCTCTCTCTCTCAAATAAATAAATAAAAATCTTAAAAAAGAAAAGAAAAAAGTGGTTAAGATGTTAAATTTTATGTGTATTTTACCAAAACTAAAAAAAAAAAGGAGGGGGGTTGCTTCCATAGTAAGGCCATTCGTAAGAGGCCATAAAAATGGCATTCTAGAGAGTCTCCAGAGGGTGGCCCTCACACCAGCACCTGCATCAACCACCTGAGGAGTCTTCGAGAGAGCATGTCTCGGGGCAACCCCAGGCCATGCGTCTAGCACATACTCAAGTTCGAGAACAGCCACTATGTAAGAACGCTTCAGAAACAAAGAGGCGGGGGGCACTTACATGAAAGAAGGCTCCGCAGACTGACATGTACAAAAGGCTTCATGCTTGTAAATACATTCATTTATTTTATGAGTGCCCAGCAAGAGGCAAAAGGTAGATAAGCTGCAGCTACTGCCCAGAATGAGCGAGGTCCCGCCCACCGGCAAGGAGAGAAGCCCAGGGCACTGAGTAAAGCCAGCAACAGTCTCTGAACGGGGCGGGGGGGGGCCTTCCTGCAAGGCAGGTGGCCCTCGGGGCTGAGTGCGCACCCTGTCCAAGTACAAGGAAGGCTCAGAGGGCCCCTCGGCCCCTCTTGAGGATGGGCATGGAAATGGCGGGCACGTTTCTATTGTTTCACCAATAGCAATAAACATCGCACTTTTGTTCAGTTTTAAAATGGCATTCATAAACTAATACTTTTTAAAACTGAAACGAGAAGACGGTGGCCATGACCTCCGGGCAGGCCATGGAGCCGGCTTCCCAGCAGACCCACGGCGCCCTACCCCCAGCCCGCCTCGCAGAGGCTGGTATCTGCGGCTGCCCGCTTCCTGCACTGGGCTCCCGTCTATGCTGTGAAGTGCCAGGCAGACGGCAGGCTGCCAGGACAGTGCTGCTGCTGCCCCCGCATGCCGGCACTTGCTTACCTGGCAGAGGGAAAACGTGGCAGACACGACCCCAATCAGGACATTCAGCGCATCTTTCACCAGCTCGCACTCCTTTACCAGGACGGGCTGTGGGGCCTGCAGCAGGCCCCCGCCAAGCACCTGCAGCTCCCCGTGGCGGAGCCTGCAGAACCTGTCAAAGGCGTCCCTTCCGGCCTCCGTGAGGTAGGGCTCCTCTCTGTGGCCAGGGGGGCTGTGTGGGAGACAGAGGAGGGGGCACTAAGCGGATGGAGCAACACACACACCTCAGCTGCATGAACAAAAGGCGGGGAGAGAGGGACGAAGACCAGAAGCAGCAACAAGTGCCCAGGGGCACACGATGCTCCTCAGGATGACGATCACAATGTGTCTTCATGTTAAAAATAAGCATGGCGCCCACAGCAGCCCAGATGTCCAACGACAGATGAATGGATACACAAAACACAGCCTGCCCATGAAATGGAATATGATTCAGGCTTGGAATGGACACCAACACCTGCTACAACATGGATGAACCTCGAATACATTACACTAAGTTAAATAAGCCACATACAAAACTGTATGCTCAAGACGAGCATGACGGCAAATCTTAGCTACGTGCATCTTGCCACTCCTGGGATCCAGCCTAAGAGAGCTGACGAGAATGGCGCCGGCGGCCGGCAGGGGGAGCTCCCAGTCAGGGCAGCCCCCGTAGCACAAGACACACCCGGCAGGTGGCCCCCCATTTAGCTCCAGCAGCATGCTCCCTCCTGGGAGCCCCCCTGCCAGCCTCCCGAATATCTTAATGAGGTTTCCTTTATTCAGTTTCGTGGAGCAAAAAGTCTCACAAATTCTTGGACGTAACAGGCTTGCTGGTCTTGCAGAAGGTGCCTCTGGACACACAGCAGCCTCCAGGGGCTCTGCCTCCACGCCGTCCTATCTATGCCAGGAATTCACAGCCACATCAGTCAAAAGCAGCCAAAAAAAAAAACCAGTATCACTTTTTAAATATTCCTTTGAAAACCATAAACCCCTACTGAAAAACATGAAAGAGCTGTTTTTTAAAATCCACTGAAAAAGTAATTTCTTTTTTTTTTTTTAAGATTTTATTTATTTGACAGAGACACAGTGAGAGAGGGAACACAAGCACGGTGGGTGAGAGAGGGAGAAACAGGGTCCCCGCCGAGCAGGGAGCCCAATGCGGGGCTCAATCCCAGGACCCTGGGATCATGACCTGAGCCGAAGGCAGACGCTTAATGACTGAGCTACCCAGGCGCCCTATGAAAAAGTAATTTCTTAATAAAGGGAGCTTGGGGAATACAAGCTCTTTTAAAACTTTTCTTCTCATTTTTAATACCTAACCAGCTCCTTTCTCCTCCTCTGCAAAAAAAATTTATTTTAGGTCTAGCATGTCAAAAAGAGTATCATTTATTCTTCAAAGACAAAAGTCATTTCCTGAGGGGGTAACAGCTCCAAGCTATAGAACATTTTAACATCAAGATGCATGTCTGACCACCAGCACGTTTTCATCCCATCAGGAATGATGTACAAGGTACAAGAACAATACATCTCAGAACCTATTAAATCAAAAATCCTGCTGGGTCGCCTGGGTGGCTCTGTCGGTGAAGTGTCTGTCTTCAGCTCAGGTCACAATCCCAGGGTCCTGGGATCGAGTCCTGCATCGGGCTCCCTGCTCAGCAGGCAGCCTGCTCCTCACCCCTCCCCCGCTCCCCCTGCTTCTGCTCTCTCTCTCTCAAATAAATAAATAAAATCTTAAAAAAAAAAAAAAAAGATTTTATTTATTTGCCAGAGAGAGCATGAGCAGGAGGAGGGAGAGGGAGAAGCCCCTGGGATCATGACCTGAGCCGAAGGCAGTCCCTTAACCTACTGAGCCCCCAGGCGTCCCTCTCTTGCAAATAAATAAAATCTTTAAAAAAAACAAAAATCCTTTTTAATTGACAATGCACGTCAATCATTCTTCCCCTCTTTCAGCAAGTATCTGAGTGCAGGGGGAGCAGCGAGGCAGACAAGCCCAGCCTCCCAGGGCAGGCGCTACAGATGGGAGAAACGAGGAAGCATTGACTTGGACCCCAGGGCTGAGGAGGACTCCAAGAGGCCCAGGGAGCAACAAGAAGAGAAAAGGGGTCAGTGTGAGTGGAGCTGGGGAGTGCGGGGAGGACTTCACGGAAGGATTGGCCCTCGATCCAGACCAGGGGCAGCCATCAAGTGTGGCAGACAGAGCAATGATGTGCTCTGGTTTCTGTCCCTGGAAGGTGGCACCAGCTGTGTGGAGGATGAGGGAAGGGCAGGAGGAAGCAGGGAGGCCAGACCTGAGGCATCCAGGTTGGCAGGTAGGCTGTGGCCAGACCACGGACATCTGCCCTCGCTCCCTCGAGAGGGCGCGAGAGAAGAGCGAGAGGAAAGACTTCTCAAGTTTCAAAGTCCTTCTCAGCTTCCTCCAGGGAGTTGCTCAGGACAGGTGCACGCTGCAGGCGCCATCCCATTTCTCACCCCCGGCTGTTCCTGCCCCCACTCTTCCAGGGTCAACGCCAGCACCGCCGTGGCCATGTGTGCCCCCTTGGGGGATTCAGAACTAAGGCAGAAAAATCCATGAAGGAAAACACCAAATTCCCCTTGTCCCCATGGAGAACTCAGCCGTCAACATAATGAAATCACTCCCCCCAGAATGGGTGCAGCCACAGAGAAACAGCAGAGGAGGCCTTCAGACCTACGCGGGTACTCGGGCCAAAGCACAGGGGAGGGGTCCTCCAGGGGTCTCAGAGGACAGAGTTTACAGTCCTAGGGCTGCGGGTGGACAGGCAGCCCTGCTTCTGGAGGGCAGCAGCTTCCTTAACTGCCCACTAGCCAGAGCTCATGGTAGGAAACTAGCAGGTGGCTGGGATTTAAACTGAAACAAGTTCAAAAGATTTGCCAAATGAACTAGTGCAAAAGGCCTCAGGGGTCAGGGGCCAGTGGGATCAGGTTCGCACCAGAACAGGCAGAGGAGGATGCTTGGGGGAAGTGAGTTTGGGGCCCACGCCCAACTGAGGCGTGGCCCTGAGGGTCTCCCTGAGGAAGCCACCATGTGTGCACTGCTGGGCACGCGCTCACGTCCTGGGAGCGAGGGGAAGACCGCCGCGGTGCTCCTCGCTGCTGGAGCTCTAAGGTCAGCAACCTTCGGGGGACGCCAAGGAGATCAACTGCACTCGGCAGAACAGGGGGCAAGGACAGAGACCTGGTGAGCAATCGTATCTCCTAAATGGTGTCCTAAAAAGTAGAAACTAATGAAATACCACTAAGCAAATATTTACAGAAGAAAGTGCTAACTTGTTGGCCCACTTTTGGGACATGTGGGGGGTTAGCGGGAAGCGGGATGGCTAGACTTGGTTTGTGCACACAAGACAGGAAGTTGCAAGACAAGGCCAGCACCACCACCGGTGGTGCTGAGGGAAGCAGGGAGCTGGCCATCCCTGGAGGAATCCACTGCACGAGACAGATGACCTCGCCAGCAGGAGCGGTGCCCGAACACAACCGGCCCCTAACTGCCTACGCCCCGGCCCATGTCCACCCTGCAGAGACCCTGCTGGGCCCAGACGCTGCACCAGAAGGCACTGCACTCCTGCGAACACTGACTCTTGCATCCTATGCTCCCCAAAATGGAGTTCCACAGAATTGCCAGCAGATGAGATGGGACAAGAGGGTCCCAGGAGCAAATAGTGGGAAATGTGTGTCCTCTATCCCCATTCTGGGAGCTTTTGAGGGACGACACCAGTGCTTTACAGACTGAGCGGTCCTGAGTGCAGACGCCTCTGGACACGGATGAGCCCAGGGGACGGGATGCTGGCACCGGTCAGGGCAGCTCTGCCATGACTGAACTTGTCAGCCAGAGAGCACCACGGTCAGCCCTGGATGTGAAGACCAGTGGACGCGAAGCTTGTTCCCTCACCAGCACTCTGTGCCCTGGCCCTGACTGCACCTGCCAGGCTGCCCTCGACACCTGACTGGGAGCCCTCACTGATTTGCAGAAGTCACTGGCACCGGAGAAACCTCCCTGAAGCCTGCAAGTCCTTCCCCTCGGCATCCCTCTCACCTCCCAGGATCCAGGCCTGCCACACACTAGCCTGATGAAACTTCCAGGCTCCTAATCCCACCATAGCTGCTCTACAAACAACTGCCTGAGCCCTCCCGAGGACAGGCCACGCTCACATGCGGGGGGGTGGGGGGGATGCGTTTAGCAGCAAAGGCTCACGGACCATCCAACTTGCTCCCAGCACCTCCGCTTGCTGGCCTCGTAGGTGAGCACGGCATCCCACAGGTCGATGTCTGGAGTCATGCCTGGTTCAGACTGGGAGTCAGGAGTCAAATTAGATGCTGACTGGAACCCTTCATCGTCGGACTGATCCACACTCTGAGGAACCTGGAGACCACAGGAAAGAAGGAAACATCATGTATGTCTTTGGGTCTAAATTTCACCCAAGTGTGGTCAGAATTCCGGGACTTCCCCACACACTTCCCATTACTCGTTACAAGAAACACCCAGCAGAATGTTTCCTCTATTTTTCCCAAGCACGTAGCTACTACACAATATTTTCACTCCCACCAAATCACTCTCTGGATTAATTAAGATTATGGATTTCCAGTTATATAGGACACATAAGCGTCAATATCACTTACAATGGAATTTTTCATGAAATGATTCTGATGTGAAAATTCCATTTTGGGGAACCCAGCATAAAAAAATCATAGTAGGAACACTGGGGTGGCTCAGTTGGTTAGGCGTCTGCCTTCGGCTCAGGTCATGATTCCAGGATTCTGGGATCGAGCCCTATGTCAGGCTCCCGGCTCAGCGCAGAGCCTATTTCTCCCTCTGCCTGCCACTCCCCCGCCCCCCCCAGCTCGTGTGCGTTTTCTCTCTCAAATAAGTAAATAAATCCTTTAAAAATTAAAAAATTTTAAAAATCATAGTAAACAGAAAAATTTACGCACGCCAAGATGTTCACTACAGTGAGAATTTTTCGTAGTAAAGGAATAACTGAGTAATGACAGTGCTGAAATGTCTCAGCAACATTTATAAAGTCACAAAACATAAAGGCCAACAATGATTTACTAAGGTAGGAAATATCCCACTTTATAGGTGGAAGAAAGTGCACAAAACTGCGCACATAGCAAAAACAAACATTCTGCGGCACGTGGCTCTGCTATGTACTTGAGATGTAGCTGAACTTGTTACTTCCTTGTAATTAAACATAAACAGCAACCCTAGAGAGCAGAGTAAGTGACCTGACAACGCGCCCCGTTAGAAGGTGAAAAGCAGCGTGCTGCTTTGGTCTGCAGGTGGGCGGTGGCGTCCCTGCCCACCCAGGTGAAGCCCACTCCAGCAGCCTCGCCTCGCCACGGCTCAGCCACCAAGTGACAGGGACTCGAGCGCTATCCTGCCTTTACCATGACCAAGGCAAGGTCAAAGGAGGCATTTCCAGCTGCCGGGGAGCTGGACGCAGGAAAGCAAACACTCTACCTTAATGGCCAATCCAGAGAGGTCTGCACTGTCCGGCATCGGGGGCAGGTCTAGCCGGACATCCATGTCATATGTGCGGCTGTGCGCCAGAGCGCCGAAAAGCGAGACCCGGGTGTCTCTCTCAAACCTGTCACCGCAAGGGTCCCCATATGAGAAGAGCCCCGCGGTGGGCAGGCCAGTGCCTGGGGCCGCCTCCATCACCTGAAGCGCCTTCTGGATCATGTCCTGACACAAGTACTCCTCTCTGGAGATCAAAGACTGAACGTCCATCTCAAAAGCACTCAGGTCGTAGCAGTCGTAGCCGCTGTAGGGCACGTTTCTCCCCACATGCTTGTTGTTAAAGAAGTAGTCCCGCTTGCGCTGCAGCACTTGAGGGGGGCCGCTCCCTGCCAGCTGAACCAGGAGGCCCAAAACAGACCCCACCTCCACGAACGGACAGCAAGGGGCTGCTAGCAGCTCCTCCACCAGTCCCTCCAGACGGTCAGCCTCGGGGCCCAGACCACCCACTCTCAAGTCGAAGGACAGCATGAGGATCCTGTTCTTCACTGGGAGTCTGGAGAGATCAGGCTGCAGTTTATGAGTCTCATCTTGAAAGAGATTCGTGAAAAGGGCATTGTAGGCCACCCTCTTAAGTCTCTGCTTTGCCCTCTTCCGGCTCCCGCCGTGCTGGCCCAGGTGAGCCTTCGCGGCCGGCAGGACGGCCTCGCACAGGTCGTCGAACAGCTGGGGGACGCTGGCCATGCCCACCCCTTCTCAGCTCCAGGCCCCCAGCGAGTAAGAAAGCACCCCGGCCGGGCTGCGCTCCGGCCTCCGAAACGCAGGGCGTGGGAGCGGGTCAGACGGCGCTGACCGCCCGGCGACCCCGAAACCGACACCCGGAGGCTCAGCACTCGCACTTTCAGGTTCTTGCCCTCCCTGTGCCCGCCGCCACCCCGCCGCCACCCCGCCGCCCGCAGTAGGCTGCAGAGCGCCAGCTCGCCACTTGTCCCACCCACGAGTCTTCGCCCTTCAGGGGTCACGGAAGCGGGACCACCCGAGGAGATGCGCGAGGGCCGTACACAGTGGACGTGGCCCGCTTTGGACGCTCTGTCGACGTCCGGAGAGGGGCGGCCGGGACTGCGCGCCGCCGGAGGAGGGAGTGTGGGGGCGGCGGCAGGCAGGGTCGCCGGGCGAGGCCTCAGCCTGCGACGAGACCGCGGCGCCCGCTCCCGCCACCGCTGTCCCCGCCCGCGGCGTCACTGCCTCGCGACCCGCAAGACCGCCAAGCGGGCGCGCCGGAATTGCGTCATCGGGAGGGGCGGGGCGGGCCCGGAGGTCGCGGCGGGGAGGGTACTTCCGGCTTGGAGCGCCGCAGCCGCGTGGGGAGTCCGAGCCCCGCGGCGGGTTGGTCACACTCGCTGGGGTGGGCCGCGCACGCCACGAGTGGGGCTGGAGCGGGGCCCCCCGCTGGACCCCGGTCATCGCCGCGTCCGTCACCGACGCAGCCCGAGCGCGCCCCGCGGGGACGCAGGGACCGCGAGCCCCGTGCGCCGCGGCTCCGGCGGGGAGCAACCGCAGTACCCCGGACTCCTGCTGCTCGCGCACCGACCGACCCTGCCAGCTTCCCTCTCCGGTTTTGCCGCAGCTGGGCGCGGGCTGCAGGTCTGCTTTCCCGAGCAAACCCGTGTGTGCTCGTGAAGCGATGTTTGGCGGCACGGTACTCGCTGGCCTGCCGTGCAACCCGGAGCGGGCCCCCACGAGCCGCGAGCTGGTGCGCAGACCGCGCGGGCGCCCGCGGAACGCGCTGCCGCCTCGGACCGGGCTGGAGGCCGAGTCTTCGGCGGATTTCAAGCCCCGCGCTCTGGGCGCGGGTGCTCCAGGCCTTGTCCTGGCTGAGAGGTCGCCTTTTCAGAACTGGACTGCTCGGTCAGAGCTGCGCTGCTGAGGAATTTGTCTGCTCTAGAGAAAAACCTCCGAGAAACGGGCCCCCAGAAATCACAGTGCTGGGCGCCTGGGTGGCTCAGTCGGTTGGGCGTCTGCCTTCGGCCCAGGTCATGATCCCGGAGTCCTGGGATCCAGCCCCGCATCGGGCTCCCTGCTCGGCGGGAGCCTGCTTCTCCCTCTCCCACTCCCCGTTTGTGTTCCCTCTCTCGCTGTGTCTTTCTCTGTCAAATAAATAAATAAAATCTTTAAAAAAAAAAAAAAAAATCACAGTGCTTTGGGGGACCCCCCCTTTCTGGGACCTCAGCTGGTTCTGTTTTTAAAACTGCGGTGCCATGGACTGAATGAACCAAAAGTAGCCAACCAGGGGAAATAAACGACCCTTTGGCATGTTCCCTGTACTTGTCTATGATGGCACCATGGCAGAGCCCGGGGACACTGGTCATTTGTTCCCACTGGGTCAGGTAGGGCAAAATGATAGTGTTTACGAACCAGTATGGGTGGGAAATAATAAGGCCACAAAGAGGGCCTGCATCGCTCGTCCCACCTGTCCACACAAGTGGGTCTCCTACAGCTTCCATGTCTCCCGGCTCATGTTTTCTCACTGGATCGAAGCTTTCTCTTCTAGACGGGCCAGTGCTGCTTCTGTGGCTAAAATTCTGTTAGCAAAGATTGTCCCTACCCAGGGAACCCCTCTCGAACGTCGTTGTGGTCGGAGAACTCATCTTACTGGCCGGACGCTTCAGCAGGCCTGCGCTGCTTGGCAGGCCTCACCTTCACTGCACCCCCCCATCCACATTCCCTGCGTTAGTCACATGCACCACCAGCATTGGTAAGCCTCAACTGGCAAAATCTGCAGCCCCTCCAAAATACCTGGGCCAAGAGCATTGCTGTTGGTCCTTCTAACCCTCAGATCTGGGATCTCCCAGACTCCCACCCTTCGAGATTTCCAGGACGTCCAATGCACTTGGCCCCTGCCTCCTCTGACACGTTAATAAAAGGAGATATACTTCAAAACTGTTCGGGTCTAACTGTTTCTATTAAAAGTAACCATGCTTTGGAGCGCCTGGGTGGCTCCATGGGTTGAGCTTCCAACTCTTGGTTTCAGCTCAGGGCGTGATCTCCTCAGTGGTGAGCACCACGGGGGAGGCGGGGGGATGCTCAGCAGGGAGTCTGCTTGGAGATTCTCTCCCTCTGCCCCTCCCCCCCCTCAAATGAATAAATCTTTTAAAAAAAGAAAAAAAGGTAGCCACGCTTTGGTAGAACAATCTACACAGTGAGTTCCTGGGAGATGGAGAGGGTGGCCTTAAGCATCACACCTTGCAACCTGGACATTTCGTTTATTGGAAAAGACACCTCCACAACCTTGCCAGAAAGGCCCCTCTCAGATCTGCTAACCAGCCCTTGTGCCACCAAACTCCAGGTAAGAGACTCTTGGATCCATGGGACATGTGTAGAGAAAGCACCAAAGCCTGACTGGTGACCTGGAAGTAAAGACCTCCCAGACTGAAACAGACATCTGGGGAGGGAGCTGTCCTGAGATGCATAGACCAGGCCCATGTGCCTTTTCCTCCTTTCCCCTCCTTTAGGGGGAAGACAGTGCCCTTGTGTGGATCTCCCAAGCCCTGTGGAAGGGGGAAACCTCTTTTGATTATGGCCTTGCAGAAACAGCCTCACCATGATCCCGGGACAAATGAATTTTCCACTCACTTTTTTTTTGAAGGGTTAGGTTTCTTCGGTCTTCACAAAAGTCCCTCTTTCATCTGACCTGTATCTTACACTGGATTCTTACCCAAATTCAGTCTGTGAATTTGCCACCATACAGGCTGTTACTGGATAACATTTGTTTTCAGTTCTTTTGAGATAACAGTACTGTTTTAATACATCTTTGAGGTTTTGCTGTTTTTGTTCAGCTATTGCTTCATTTTTCCCAAACACACTTGGCTAATTGTTTTCATGTGATCTTGCAGTACCCCCCTCTCCCCACAGGAACTTCCAGGAGGCACACAGGATTCTGGGTTTGCCTCCCTAGGGAGAACTTTCTCCCCTAAATTGGAATGAGTGCCAATAAGTATCTTCAGTTGGCGACTGCAGACCTACAGTCTGGTTTAGAACCACCATTCAATTTGGGATTGTTATATTCTGTTTTGTATAGCTCCTTTAAGTTTTGTATTTTGTTAACTGTCAAACTTCTGTAAAAATGATGTGCCCACTATGGAAATGATCTCCAATACTTGTAACCTTGAGAATATGTAGACTTTAGACGGGAAGTGCCTGGCAGTTCTCCCTCCTGACCTCCCGTCTGACTCAAATGTGGCCTTAGGTGGTTTCCAACTGGTACATACTTTCCCTCTGCTGTAGGACAGGATAACCAGAGAAGTCCTTCCTGGCAGCAACAGACAAAACCACTAAATACGGAAAACCTGACTCTTGATCAGTGACGCTTTCAAAGAAAGGTCTTGATCAAAAGGAGGGAAATTTGGAAATTAATAAAGGGAAACTCTCGGAAGTGGGCTTGGGATGCTAGAAGGGGAGGCTGGAAGGAGGAGCTATACCACTCCATGCCCATCACAGGAACGATCGTTGATTAGAGGCCCAACAGAAGAATCAACAGCAAAGGATCATCAGAAAATCATCATCATCCTGAACTCTTGATTTTCTCCAATGGATGTTCATTCGGAACAATCCTTCCCAGCTTCTTCCTTCCTCTCCATAAAATAACGTTCCTCTTTGCTTGTTGGACTAGCCTAGTATTTTGCCATAGTCTACCTGTCCCAAATTGCAATTCTCTACTACTCCTGAATAAACCCATTTTTGCTGGTAAAATAACTTTTATTTTTAAGGTTAACAGAAGTGTGGGAAATGAGGATGGGGCCATCCGTGAAGAGGTGGGCCACTGGATGGGGGCTCCCGGTCACTGCCGTGGACAGAGTGCCCCTGAGCCAGTGCCCTGGACAACTCCATAGCCCAGCCCTCTGCACAAAGGCCTCAGGCAGTGGGGTACTGGCGAATGTTTAATTATGGCTCTTGGGGGACTAGCTTGTATTGTCATTTCTGGGGTGCAAAGACTTCCACCCTGGCTGATTTCAAGCTACCAGGTCACAGAACTCAAGAAGGAGCTAGGAAGAAATGTACAGTCAGCTTGTCACTGCGATGAGCAGGTTCAGGACAGCACCTCACTCCCCAAGATGTGAGCCCCTCTCCCCACAGAGCTCTATGGCAGAACTGTCCCCCTAGACTCCCGGCGTTCAGCCTCAGCCTTGCCCCCCAGCCTCACCGGCCACCTGCAGCATCTTCCACTGTGCTTCCAGCTGCCCTCTCAAGTGTATCAGGGCCTGCAGGTCCTCGGGGGAAGCCATGGAGAAAGGACCCAGGCTGGGGGGTGCCTCTCCATGCAACACCCGGGCCAGGACCCCCGCAAGCTGGGATGTGGATTCCTGGGCCAGGAGTAGAGGTGGAAGCAGCAAGTCACTGGTCTCCCCACCTCCCACCCACAGCACGTCCACCCTGCCCAACTCACCTGCTCCACTAGGACCAAGACTCGGCCCCCCGCTGGTCCCCGTAGGAGTGCAGCCAGGAGTGCAGCTTGGGGGTCCTGGAGGCCATGGGCTGGTCCCAGCGCCACCAGCACCAGGTCAGGCTGGAAACCATAGGCCAGGGGCAGCACAAGGGCCAGGATGCAGCTCAAGAACCCACCTGTTGTCTGTGGGAAGGACAGCAGCAGAGCTCCAGGCCCTCAGCCAGGGGTCACCCCACCTCCCACAGTCCCATCAGGAAGCCAGGAAGAGCAGGTGAAGGCCAGGAGCGGCCCCAAGGGTGCCAACGAGTGGCAGCCGCCCTACCCGGGACCCCACCACTCACCCCTGGCAGCGGCACAGACACATGGAACATGGACAGGGCAGCCGCTTCTTTGCCTCTGATGTTCAGCCACAGATTTCTCCTTCCAGGGGAGAGTGAGCACGTGGGCACACATGGAAGGCTTTGAGATGTGGCTCACCCTCCAGAGCCCAGACAGCAGAAGGGAAGGTGCTGGAGACCCTCCCAGGAGCTCCTCTGCCAAACTCCAGCTGGGGAAGGCCCTGCCCACCCTCCCCCATGGGGACTCAGGAGTACGTGCCCACCCACACACAGGACGGGATGCACACAGGACCCAAGTGTCCTACCCATCACTGGCAAGGTCTGGGGGCCGATCCAGCTGTCCCACAGCCACACAGAGCACCCTAGAGGAAAAGGTGGCCCCAGGACGGGCTGCACTCACCCAGCCAGGAATCCATGCTTGGAGCCTTCCCCATGGGGCCGGGAAGCAGGAGCAGTGTGGCCCGCCAGGGCGGGGGTGCTCACCTCTGGGCTCTGTGGGACAAGCCGTGCCGAATAGCCACCTCCAGGGTGGCCGCCGCAGCTGGGGTTGTTGCGATGCCACTGCTCACCTGTGGGGGGCAACTCCCAACCAGGCACAGAGTCACATCCATCCTCCTCTTGGTCCCTGTCTACGGAGCTGCCATCTGCCCAACTGAGCTCAAACTGCTCCCCTTCTGGAAATAAGATGCTTAAAACTACACTTTAAATCATCGCCTTCACCTCACTGTCAGAGCATTTAGTTAAGAAGACTGACTGAGCCTGAACTTGTGACCCTGCCCCTAAGAGCTGTTCTAGAAAGGGTCCATGTGGTTCTGCACCACCCAGCCCTCCCTTGGACAGGCCATCTGTTGTGGGCGGCTCCTGGGCCCTACCCCCAGCTCCATGGCCACCCTCAGCCCATCCCAGGTGCCCCCACCTGTCCATCCAGGATCCCGTTCAATAGATGCAAGACCTTTCCAAGTGCAATGAAAGCCGTGTCCTGGGCCAGGGCCTCGTGTAGCCTGTGGTGGGAAACCAGAGGGACACGTGGACAGGAAGTGACACCGGTACCACGGCGCGTGTCATCCACAGCCCCATCCCTCTCCCCAGGCCTGCTCTGCCCACCTGGCCCAGGCCCGTGTCTCCTCCTGTGGGGCTGACCCCTCTGGACGGAGGACATCAGGCGGTAGGACCAGAGCAGCATCCTGTGCCGTCAGGGCGGCAGCCGTGCGGGCAGGGGGTGTGGGGTAGAGGTGCAGCTGGTCCAGGAGGGACCTCGGTACAGCCGAGCCCTGGGCCTCCGCTGCCTTGAATCCGGGCCCCCCAGGCGACACAGATGGGCGTCTCCCCTCTGGGGAGCAGGTGCTGGGGTTCAGTAGGCGGGCCGGCCCTAGGGAGTGGTTCAGAGTCAAAGCCACTGCGCGGGAGCCCGGGGAGGTACCCTGCCGCCCAGCGTGGGCCACACTGACCTTGCTGCTGAAGGCTAGTCCAGTGAGGGGCCTGGGCTGCCCGGACACTCTGGATGGACTCCAGAGCACTGTGGGGAGAAACAGGAGCCGTAAGGCCTGGCCTGGAACCCCCAGCCCTTCCCAGCCTCCTGCCCCATACCTGTGCCGAGGCACCATGGACCCCGACAGGGGCGGGGCAGGGTCACCCAGCAGCGCCTTCACCACCATGCACACCGACTGGGACAGCGACTCCAGGTGGTAGCCTCCCTGGGAGCAGGGCGAAGGCAGACACGAGATTAGACATGGCTGTCAGTGGGGCGGGGCGCCACCGTCCCGGCAGGACGCCCCACCCTGTAGAGCGGGCCCCCCTGACTGCACCTCGACACCTGGCCTGTGAGCCCTCCCTGCTGCCAGTCACCTCCAGCACAGCACAGACCCGGCCGCCGGCCAGCACCTGCAGCAGCTGCGTGAGGTGGGCGAAGCACTCAGGCGTGGCCTGCATCTGCCCCTGGAACCAGAGCCAAGTGTGAGGGGACCTGGCCCCAGGGCCCCAGAGGCCCTCCCCAGCCAGGACAGGCCTTCACCTCAGGATCCCCAGGGCCCCAGAGGCCCTCCCCAGCCAGGACAGGCCTTCACCTCAGGATCCCCAACTGCTGAGTCAAATCCTGCCGAGACGAGCACCAGCTCAGGGTCAAACTGTGGACAGGGCCAGGTGGGGATGGGCAAGAGAGAGCCTGGAGCAGAGGTGAAGGAGGCCCCTCCAGAGAGTGCTCCCCACCCACAGGGCTCTGTTCTGCTCCGGGGGGGGGGGTCGGGGCAGGGGGCAGAGGGGGGCGGGGGATGACACCTCTGGGCACAGACTCCCCCTCCCACGCTCCTCCCACCAACACCATGCCTGCCCCCCATGCAGTTACCTCAAAGGCCACAGGGAGCAGCACATGCAGGAAGGCAGCCATATAGTCAGCATTTCCCATCCCAACCTGTGGCCACCGGGCATCAGAGTTGGGCCCTGGGGGGGGGGGGGGGGGGCTGGGGTCTTCACCCCTGGGGCCCAGGCTCTGGGGGTGACCCTGGAAGGATGCCCTGGACTACGTTCAGGAGGCCTGGGGCTGTGGGGCAAGGGGTGAGGCCTGGGGGAGAGGCTCTGGGTGGGGGGAGGGGGGGCACCTGGTTCCAGGGCAGGTTGACAGTGAAGCCACGGCCCTGCCCCAGCCCAACAGCATCTGCATCTGACTCTTGAAGATAAGGCCAAAAGCAACCATGCTCATAGCGGTGCCAGGAGAAGTAAAGAACACTGCGGACAACCGGCCGAGGTCAGAAATCGGAGCTCAAAGGTCAGGACCTCAGCCCCATGGCTCCCAGCAGGGGGTCGCAGGGAAGGCTGGTGACCCCAGCTCACCTGGGATCATCCTCAAAGATGTACTGGATGCCCTGACCATGGTGGACATCCCAGTCGACAATGAGGATCCTGCGGACAGGCAGTGCAGAGGTCACTGAGGGGCAGGGCCTCCCACCTGGGGGCCAGAGCCCACCCCAAGAGGGGAAAGGACCGAATGGGGTCTGCCAGCAGCCCACTCCACCGCTTTCCGTCTGGCCTGGGCCCTGCGCACGGACAGCCCAGGACACACCTTTGCAGACCGTGTTTCTGCTGGGCGTGTTTGGCCGCTATGGCCACATTGTTGAACACGCAGAACCCGTTGGCGGCAGCCCTCTGGCTGTGGTGCCCCGGAGGTCTGCGGGTGAAAACTGACACATCAGGGTCATCCTGTGCCCTCGCAGGGCTCCCCACAGCTGGCGGCAGCCCAGAAGGGGACAGCCCTCACCTCACCAGGGCAAGCCCATTGTGCGCGGCTCCTGTCAGCACAGCATCCACCAGCTGCAGCGCGGCCCCCACGGCCAGCCGGGCACAGTGGAAGGTATTCTGCGGGGGCAGCGGTGCAGATGAGCCCCCCCCCCCCCACCGCCCTGCAGCTCGGGCTCTGCCCAGGCCTGTGCCGGGCTGCAGGTCCCAGCAGCAGCAGCTGGTCGGGCATGCAGGGCATGTGCACGCTGGTGACGGAGGGCATATGGGCCAGGGTCAGCAGCCGCAGCCATGAAATGGGCACGGGCATGCAGATGTGCATGTGGGGGGGGGGGTGTCCCCAGGGCCGCACCGGGTGGAAGTAGACAGCATCGTACTGCCCAGACAGCGCCCGTAGTTCCTCCGTGCCCAAGGCCTGGGTTCCTCGCAACAGGGACACATACTCTGGGCTGCAGAGGGGCAGGCAAGCAAGGCAGGGTCACCAGCAGGAGCAGGAAGGGGAGAAGGAGGGGCCGTGCGCTGGTGGGACCGCCCACCTCACGGTTCCCTCCCCCTCCCACCCAGTGGTGAAACCGAGGCAGGTAGGGGAGGTGCTCTGTTTTCAAGATGCGGGCAGGCTGGGCGGCCCCACGTGCCAGGCGGCCTCCTCTGGAAGGTGGCTCCCCGGGATCTGACCTGTGTACCAGGCCCAGCTCTGCCTCTGAGGCCTCTCGAGCTGCCAACTGTAGACACCTCTGCTCCAGGCCCCCCTGCTGCAGGCGCTCAAGGGCTGCGGTCAGGCGTTCGGGACGCTCGATCTCACACTCAGGGCTGCGTGGACACAGAGCTTAGCGTCCAGAGCCCCCTCCCCACCCTCCCCCTCTACCAGCTCACACTTACTCTTCCCAGAGCAGCCGGGCGGCTGTCATTTCCTCATGGTACACGAGTGCGGTCCTCATGGCCCAGCCGCCCTGGGGGGGTAGGGGGGTGGCGGGGAACCGGTGAGTGCCTGCTCCCTCCTTGCAGCCCCGGGGAGCAGCTCAACCCCTGGGCCACAGCTGGGACGGCGCGCACGGAGCCTGGGCACGAACGCGCAGAATCCAGGCACGGAAGGAGGCCGCAGGCCGCAGTCGGGGTCGACCGGGTGGCTCCCGGACACAGGTTTCCGGCTTCCTCAGACTCGGACCCGGCACGGTCCGGCCCCCGCCGCTCAAAGCCCCGCCCCGAAGCGCGGCCTGGCCGGAGGGAGGGGGCAGGAGCGGGAGTGGACTGGTGTGCTAGGGGGCAGGTGCGCGAGGGGGGGAGGGAGCGGGGGCGGGAGTGGACGCGTGTAAGAGGGGGCAGGCGCGCGGGGAGGCGGGGAGCGGCAGGGGGCGAGAGTGGACGGGTGCGCGAAGGGGCGGGAGTGCGCGGGGGGGGGCGGGAGTGCGCGAGAGGGGCGGGTGCGCGAGGGGGCGGGTGTGCCAGGGGGGCGGGTGTGGGGACCCAGGGCCAGTGTGCCCCGGACCCCGCAGACTGTCACGGCGGCACCACTGAGTGTCCCGGTCCGCCCCAAATCTCAGACCCACGCTGACCGCGCAGGCCAAGGCGTCAGACCCGTCCGCAGCCCATCACGTCTGGCGCACCCCAGGGGCCCATCCTAGCCAGAGCTCGAGGAACAGCTGCGAGTGAGGGGGCGAGGCCGAGGGCCCGCAGGAGCAAGGCCGCAGGCCGGAGAGCCCCCGCCTGGGCCGCGTCGAGGTGTAAGGAAGTGTCAGGGCCCGACTGAAGCTCCAAAAGACCCTGGCCGAAGAGCAGAGTCGGAGGCTTAGGTGGTGGCAGAGACGTTGGACAGGGGTCGCCGAAGCGTGGGGCGAGGCAGGGCAGAAGGCCTAGCGGAGGGAAAGGCGGACACAGGGAGATCTGAGCGAGGAAGGAAGGAAAGGAGGCGGCGCGGACACAGACCCAGAGCGAGACGGCCAGAGAGAGGAGGCATGCGGGAGCCAAAGGCCTGAAACCCGGGGCCTCTGCCAACCCGGCCCTGGGGGAGGCGGGGCCGTGGGCCGGAGTACCGGAGCGGCGGGCTTATCGTAGGCGGGGCCCTGGGGTCTCGAAAGCGGTGTTCTGAGGGGGACGGGCCCTCGGGAGGCCGGGCGTGGGGGAGGGCGGGCCTGTTAGAAGGCGGGGCCGGGAGCGCAGGTCCTGGGGACTTGGGGTCTTGGAAGCGGGGCCCTGGGGCGGGAGTGCCACCAATCCCGTTCTCCGGTGCCCCAGAAGCGCAGGAATGACCTCTACGGCGGTAGAAATGCAGCCGGCGGCCCCCACAGGGCCCCACCCCCTGCGGCCCGCGACCCCACAGGGGACCCCACGGTCCTGATCAGGGCACCTGCCAGGGCGGGCTACGGGCGTCCTACCGAAGCTCTGGGCAGACTCCGATTGGCTCATTTTGGGTCACGTGCCCGCCCCTGAGCCAATCACGGTGGCTATGGAGTGGCGTACTCTGAGTGGCCACCCTGGGCCACGTGGCTCCAGAGGGGCCTGTGGCGGACCGCCCCTCCCGATCGCTCTGAGCGGGGGCTCGGGGCAACCGTCTGTCCCAGAGGTATCGGAGACCCCCCAGCAGAGAAGGCCGGTGTCCACTTTGGCAACTTGTCTGACCGTACTTGGCTGGGTTAGCTGTTCGCGTGTGCAGCCGAGCTCCAGGCCGAAGGGGGACAGCCGGGCCCCGCTTTCGGCACACCTGCCGTGGGGACAGGTGGGAGGAGCCAGGGCAGACGCAGGAGCCCCAAAGTGGCCCCTGACCCAGCTGTCAGCTCTCTGAGACGTCCAATGGCTGGCAGAGGGCGGCACGGGCTCGCCGTTGCGCTGGGGTGTGGCCGACGAAGGGGCAGGAGGTTTGGAGACAATAGAACCCATTCGTGCGCTGTGCCCCAGGTGTCTCAAAGCGCCAAGCGTGACCCCTCCTCACCAGGAACCTGGCCTTGGAGAGTGCAGGGAGCTCAGACAGCTGGGACTGAGCCCCAGGTCGGACCCTAACCCCGTCCTCATCAGGCCCTGCCTGGGGTCTGGCTCCAGAGTTTAAGCCATTAGAGGAAGGTCAGTCCACAAAAGGGCAGGGGCCCATCCCTAGTGCGGGGGCTTCAGGCTCTGGGCTCACTGTGGACCTGGGAGGAAGGGGGTCCCCAGGCCCAGCTGCTGAGCAGGGGCTGAGACTCTAGGGCCAGCTTCTCTATGCCAGGCTGCAGCTCAGACGCCTAGAGGTGGAGATCCAGCCTGAGAATTAGGAAAGCGAGAGTGGGATCTGTACAAAAGGGTTTATTTCTTTCCAGCCACGTGGGCATAGCACTTTCTGGGCTGGGGGTGCAGGAGAGTCCACACCAACGCCCCCCGGGAGAGACATCCCTGAGTAGGCGCTCTGCGCCCTCCCTGTCCTTTCTCAGCTGTATGAACTGGGCTTCAGCAGGGGCTGGAGCGAGCAGGGTCAGAGGGCAGGCCTTGACCCCAAGGCTCACCCACCCCCACAGGCTCTGAGGCTTCTTGTTGCACCTGGGGGAGAGGACCACTGCTCAGGGAGTCAGAGGCCAGTCCCCAGTCAGGTTGACATCCTGTCCAGAAGGTCCAGATGCTCCCCCAGGTTAGGCTGAGGTGGGAGCCTTGAGATCAGGATAACAGGCTTGGGAGAGGGGGGATCCATGGAACCAGAGGTTTCCTGGGATGTAAGCCCCAGCCAAAGTCACAGTGATAATTAGGATCCCCCTTCCAGGTAGAAGCCCCAGCCAGGATCCCCAAGGTGTCCTCACCACCACTGTGGAGGCCCAGGGGTCTTCACAGGGCCGTCTCCTTGGAGACCTTGGTCCCCAGCTGCCGGGGAGGCTTGAAGCTGAGCACTTCTTTATATGTGACACCTGGGTCGGGGTGGGAGAGACGGACCATCAGGGGAGAAGGGGCCTCATCACCCTTCAGAATCACCTCCTAGGATTCACACCCAGGGTGGAAGCCAGTGACCCAGGAAGAGCACTGAGTCCTGTGAGGTGGGGGTGGGGGAGGGGAGAGCTCCCAGGCCCAGAGCACAGGCTGTTCGCCATGACCAAGGGGCCCAGCTGGTGCCCAAAAACATCGGAACCAGAAGTCATTGCTGGAGTGCAGGTGCCAGACAGGCTGCTTTTGTCCTCACACGTGACTTCATCCCAGGCTAGGGCCACACTCAGCCCACCTGTGTCCATCCACAGGGGCTATCCACCCTGATGGGGCTCCTGCAACCCAAACCCACCGCCCCTGGGGTGGCCAGGCAGGCCCTGGCCCCATAGCCTGGTGTAAGGAGCCGTGTGCCAATATAAATCAGTGTGTCTACTCAAGTGGAGCCACTCAGAATCCCACCAGAACACACCCCAGCTTCTGGATCCAAAATATCCACCAAAACTTAAATGAGAAGAATTCCCACAAACACCAGTTTCTACCTTCCTCGCCTGTTGGTCATGGCCCCTAAAATGTGTTCCCAGAGCAAGCCATCCCAAAGGAAGGGAGAAGGCCTGACTTGCTTTCCCTCTGAGCAGTTTGCAAAGGGACAGGTTCTGCTCAGCCTACCCCAGCATTCCCATATTCACCTGGCCAGTGCAGCACCTGTTTGGGGGACACTGGTCCTCCAAAGCCCAGTTCAGGAAACACTGTGTGTTTAGAGCAGGTGATCTATGTGGCTGGCCCTGCCTGTGGCACCCATGTGTTCCTGCCCCATCAGGTGCCTCCTAGGCCCTTCATCTAACCCTAACACCGGGGTCAGTCCACACAGGGGAGGTCTGTGTGAAGCTGGCTGTTCCCAGGGAAACAGGAGGTGATGAGAGTTTGCATTCCTGACCAGGGGCTCGGCCACAAACAGGTCATGTGTTCACCATGGTCTGTAGTAAAAGCAAAAGCTCTTACCACTGTGTGTGGGTGGGGACCACAGAAAGGATTCTGTGGCCCGTGGTTTTCATGTTATCTTTTTTAGCAACAGAAAACTTTCATCAAACCAAACCAAACTTAGAAGCACAAATAAGGGTGGGGCCCTGCCAGAGGCACGGAGCAGCCCAGTGGCCAAGGAACAGGGTCTGAGAACCACCAGTCCCGTCCCACCCCAGCCCCATGTGCAGCACCAAGGCCCCGGGTCTGAGGCAGAGCCAGGACGGGACCTAACTGCTGTCCTCAGATGTGCCCAGCACCCTCCAGGCTGGCCCTGCAGCCACCAACAGAAAGATACCAAGCGCAGCCCTCATTGCCTGTCATTCTGCAAAGCCAGTCCCAGCATGGGGCCTGAGGACCTGGCAGGTGTCCCTGGGCCCAGCCTGAGGCTCAGCATGTGCTGGCTGGGCCCTGAGAGGTGAGGATAGGGGCCTTTGGTGTAACCCAACAGCCGGTGCCAAGCCCGGCTTTGCTGAGCACAGGCTTCGGTGGGTCTGAACTGCTCAGCGGGACTAGAAGGGATGGGCAAGGGGTGTGGAGGAGGCTGCCTGCGGTGGGCCTTATCCTGCTGGCGGGACAAGAGGGGTGTGCAGTAGTCAGGTGGGAGGGGTCCTAAAAGGGGCAACGAGGGGCACCTGCGTGGCTCAGTTAGTTGAGAGTCTGATTCTTGGTTTTGGTTCAGGTCATGATCTCAGGGTCATGAGATCGAGCCCCGTGTCAGGCTGCACACTCAGCAGAGTCTGCTTGAGATCTTCTCCCTCCCTCTGTCCTGCCCTGCTTCGCCTGCACACACGCCCTCCCCCACAAAACAAATAAGTAAATCTTTTTTTAAAAGCGGGGGCAAAGAGAAACAAGGACAAGCTCAAGAGGCAACAGTGGAAGTCTGGGGGACAAGTGGGTGCAGAGGGGCTCCAGAATGGCCCAGGTCTCTGGCCAGGACATGGGGAAGATGGGGGCAGCCCTGGGGCCGGGCCAGCAGGGTGGGGAGAGGCCAGGTGCTCACAACCGCCCTGAGCTGGGAGCTGCCTCCCACAATTTCCAGAACTCACCTCCTGCTCTTATTAGTTCTGAACCCCCTGCCAGGGACATTCTTTCATCCTTCAACTCCAGCCAGAGGTCACCTTGGCCAAGAAGCCCCACTGCCCTCTGACTGTTGTATTCCTTACCTGCATCCCCAGGTAGGGGGACCCAGGACTCTGAGCCCTGGCGCCCTGCACTGGGCTCCCAGGGTCCCTCCACAGGCCCTGCCCAGAGCTCCACCAACTCACGTTTCCACTCGTCCAGCGTGCGGTCCATATCATCAAAGGACTCGTCGTACTTCTGGGCCTTGGGCTCGTCCTCCGTGTCCTGCAGTGACTCGAAGTAGGGGTGGGTCAGCGCCTCGGCCGCAGTCACCCGCCGCTCTGCATCTAGCACAAGCATTTTCTCCAGGAGGTTCACAGCTGCGGGGAGGGCTGGTCAGGGAGGGTCCCAGGCCCTGATGCCCTCGTCACTGACCAACACTCCCCCCCAGTCCAGTCCTACCCAGAGGACTTGCATTAGTCAGGATGGACGCAAAATCCTTCTTCTCCAACTCGGGGAGGCCCTTCATGTAGTTCTTTGCCTTTTCAGGAAGAAAGGGTAAGGGACCAACCCACAGACCCAGGTCCAGCCCCTCCAGCCCCCATCCAGCTCCCGACTGACATCGGCACTCTGCAGCCTCTGCACAAAGTCAGCGGGAGGCGTCCCTGTCACCTTCATGATCTCCTTCAGCTGGTCCAGGTCTGTGCCAAGCTGAGGAGCACAAAACAGGGCCAGAGAGCAGGGCACACCCCACCTGGCCAGGACAGCATGCCCAGCCCCCACCCAGGCCCAGGCTGCCCCCCCACAAGTGTAGGATACGGTCACTGCCCTTGAACAGCGTCTTCCCTGTAATCATCTCCGCCATGATGCAGCCCGCCGACCAGATATCCACTGAGACAGAAGCCCCTGCATCAGGGCTCTGTAGGCCAGGGAGGGCAGGGGGACACACATGGGGGGGACACAGACAAGGGGGCCATCTAGCCTGCCACACCCTCGCCCGGCTCCCATCCCAGCTCAGCAGCCTCCCCACGGAGGAGCCACCATTGGACTTCCCATAAAGAAATGGAAG